ATTATTATTATCCCTCATCATCGAATTCGCTATTCAGCTTGCTAACGTTAGCTTAAACAAACGTAACATGCAACGTTAGCCTAATCTAAAATGCTCTACTGCGGCGTACCTTTCATGTGGCTCCTCAGTGCAGACTCTCGCATCGTTATTTTTGCAAACTTTGCAGGAGGCTACTCGTGGGCTTGACCCTCGTCTTAGCCATGGCTTGTATTTGTCTTCTGATAGCCAACGCTCGTTGAAACTGCAACCTCCTGGCACACTGTCATCTATCACTCTCATCAGAATGCCCAGGTCACACGTAACTTAAACACTTGCAGGTCACGGCTCATAGCGCGGGAAGGCCGCAGCGGAGCTGTTTTTATGTAGAAGCGAAGCAATTTTTTTCTTTTAATCTAAAAAGCGAACTATTCAGTCAGACAGCAATTTATTTTAAAAGTAAAGCATTTACATTTTCAAGCACTTTATCTCAATTTCAAGCACCATTCCCAAAATTCAAGCACTTTCCCAACCTTGAAAACAACGTCAAATTTCAAGCATTTTCAAGGATTTCAAGCACCCGTACGAATCCTGTACAGTGGGTAAATTACAGCAAATGATATGCGATGGCTCGGACCAAACAACATCTTGTTGACACTTGGCTTAAGCAATAGTGATTGCATCATCGTGTTTCTACTTCCCCTCAAAATCTGTTTTTGACACTGACTGTAAAACTCTGAATCACGAGGGTTTGCGTGTTCAATGATCATCCTGCTAAATTGTGATTTAAAAAAAGAGAAAAATATGATATTTATTGTACTGATGTGTTTGTCCTCGTACATTGGTATCTGCTAGAGTTATAATTGCCAATAGTTGTTTTTTTGTGTGTATATTGTATTTTATTTTAATTGTGATAATTTTTCAAACATTTTGAAAAAGATTCTGCTTCCTCACTGACACTGTTTTTCCTCATCTCTACTTACCCTAACTTTGAGGCTTTATTTATACTTTATGATAGTCACTTAATGCATCACAATATTGCTTTTACATTTATGTATATTTGATTCCAGTGCCCCAACTCACCGTAGATTCTCCAGCTCAGCAGGCAGGTCTAATTTCATCAGCTTCTTGTACTTCTTCACATGTGCTTCACGTACAAAATTAAGCTTCATCACTTGATCCATGTATCTAACAGAAAAAGAAGACATTACATCCAAAGCAGATAGTTCTAGTCAAAGAAGGAGATACCAAGATGTCCTTACTTGTCAATGGTCCCAAAGAGCCAACTGGGCTCTTTGTTAAAGGGCATGCTCATTTCATGGAAACATGCCACCTTGGTGGCAATCTCAGCCGATATGGCAGGATCGGCAAGTTGATCTGTGCGCATGCGGGTATTCTGGAAAAACATATAAAATAAAGATGATACCAATGCTTCCTCTACCTAAAGACCTAGCTCAAGTATTTTATGGATTTACATTCTACTTACAAAGTAGAAGGAATGTGTTCAATAGAAATTCAGATTAGATTTTAACCCTGAATGTTCAATACTTTGAAACATTATTTTGTTATGTATGAATGTGTGTACGGTGTATGTGTGTATGTGTATTATACCGGAAAGTACTGTTCTAAGCGTCCCTGGGGAAAGATGCCGTACAGTTTTGGTCCTAAAGTTCGTTCTGCCAGGATGGCGAACATCACACTTTCCAACACCAGGGAGTCCACTCCCTGTGTCACAGAAAGACAGACAGAAAGACAGACAGAGAGACAGACAGACAGAAAGACAGACAGAAAGACAGCTTGATTACATTTTTGCTTTAGTTTATACTTCCAGGCAGACAATAATGATAGAAGAATGACTACAGAAATTATATTTTCCCCCATAGTAATTCAACAGCTGAACAGACCAACCTGTAAGATCATGGCACCATACTCTGAGGAGCACGACGCGAGGTTCATCTAAGACAGCGGGCACATGGTCAGGCAAACAACACAGGTAGAGCACTAAGGCTGAGGTTCAGTCTTTTTGATTCCTAACTGAGCGAAATAACCTAAGTGGGAGCGAGGATAAGAGCTATTTATTACTCTGGACGATAAGGAAAGGAGCTTAACACTTCCTTTATTATCTCCATTAGCATAGAATACACTGTACCATCCTGTACGAAAATAAAGCAGATATGGGTATTAAATTAAGACATCTTTCACTGTTGTCCACGTTTATAGAGCCTACATGAAACAACATCATGAGAAGCCACACTCCAATGTTTAGACGTGTCTATAGAAGTCTAGATCTATGTAAAATTGTAGTTTTACCACAGCAGACCAAATGAAGTCCTGTTGGATTCTCCTTCACATCTTAACCCTATTACGTTTTTCACTAAGGTTAATGAAATGTGGTTATGAAAAGACATAGGACCTGTTTTATTTATTCGCAGCCAAATACTGTCCTTGCCTAACTGGCAACTGGCTCAGCCTTAGTAGGCTACATGGTGCACCTGCTGCTAAAAAATGCCTTTGTTACAAAATGTATAATTTGTAATTGAGTTGTTCCCCTGTGAATATGCCATACAATACACTACACTTTTTTGTGGCTGTACACATAATTAAAAAAAAAGAATACAAGAGTGATTATTACTAATTGTGTCAATTTTAAGTACATAATAATGTGCGATGATGTCAAGTAGCTAACTTTGTTTTGAGGGACCCCAAACTATTACATTGGGATTAGTAAAAGTACGCCATAACGAAGTCAATATTTGAGACATTAATTTACTTAATTTAAATAGGCTACCTATAGTATTAAGATAAGGACATTATATTGATGTTATCTTCACTAGGCCTACAGCTGTAATTTCACATTATTTACCTAACAATGCTTATTTGAAAATCCCTTTCTTCGACGGTCTTCCAGGACCCAGCCAGGAAGTCTCTGCACCAGGAGAACGCCCTGCTCCGGGTGTCCCGGTCAACCTCCTCGGTTCTCCCATCCCGGAAAGCCTCTGCCTCCGAGTCGTAATCACAGTTGGCCCCAAGTAAGGGACTCGGGGTCCTAAAATGTCTCTCGTTGACGAAAAGCATTCCCCCCACTCGTTTATTCTCCTCGGGAGGACCAACATCTTCTGTTGTGACTGAGGGAATGTTGCTAGAGAGCCCCGACTTCTCTACACAGCCCGGGCCCTCCTCCCTGACTCCGCTGCCCGTCACATTTCCACCCGACTGCATCGTGAGTTTCCGGGCGAAGAGCAAAGGGAGACCGGTGTTATATGTCGGTCTGAAGACAAGACAAGACAGGCTCGCTGGCGTTCGCAGTTCACCGGTAAGGCTACGCAACCGGAAGAGACAAGCATAGCGGGATAATCTGGAACGCATGGGCGGGCGGTTTGCAGCAAGTATTAAAGTATATTGGGCCGTTTCTCAATGTCGAGTATGGCCCTGTCTCAGGTCGACTAATTTCATTTCCTCGCTCCTCGGTCCTCGGTCTCACCGGAAGTTACCCATAGGATTCTGCAGAGTTGCCGAGAAGCCCTTAGTAGGCGGAGTCGGCCACTAACGGCTTGACAGCGACGTCAGAGTCTAATCCCGCCTGTTCCAAATAAGGGCAAAGAGGCGGAGCCGAGGCGGGACCTGCTGCCTCCGAACTGGAAGTAAACAGAGCTAGCTCAGGCTAAGAAGCTAAGCTAACATGAAATACGTGCATACCAAGTTACTGCTAACAGTGTAGTTCCCCTATATAAAAGTTACATTCATAATCAAATGAGACAATCTGCAAGAGAATTAGCTATGTTTTGTTATTCTTAATGCTTGTCATTCACACGTTAAGACAAGACGGACTCCACCGCCCGGCCCCGGACCTAACGGAGCCCCTGCGCCTCCGTTAGCTCCAATGGCCACCACTGGGATAATTGGGTCCCCTATTAACATTTGCTCCCGTTTAGCATTATGGGCGTCATAGCCATAGACTAGTCTTACCCAAGGCTGAATCATAAACTAAAATGTATATAGTATAAAGGGTTACGTCCTTAGCTGGCTAATAAGTAACAAGCTAAGCTACCAAGCACACAAACACCTGCGAACGGGACATGTATAATATTATCATTTTAGACTTCTTGGAA